GAAGGGCCCCTCCACCACCTTCTCTTCCCTGAGAAGTAACAGGGGCCACGTTTTCCACACCTACCCTGAGACCCCACACAGAGACCCTCAGCACACAGCACAGATGTGAGGCTACACACACACAGAGCATACACACACACACAGAGCACACACAGAACACACACACACACAGAACAAACACACACACAGAACACATACACACACAGAGAGCACACACACACACAGAGCACACACAGAACACACACACACAGAGAACACACACAGAGAACAAACACACACAGAACACACACACACAGAACAAACACACACACAGAGAACACACACACAGAGAACAAACACACACACAGAACACACACACACAGAACAAACACACACACAGAGAACACACACAGAGAACAAACACACACACAGAACACACACACACAGAGAACAAACACACACACAGAACACACACACAGAACAAACACACACACAGAACAAACACACACAGAGAGCACACACACACACAGAGCACACACACACACAGAGCACACACAGAACACACACACAGAGAACACACACAGAGAACAAACACACACACAGAACACACACACAGAGCACACACACACAGAGCACACAGAGAACACACACACACAGAGAACACACACAGAGAACAAACACACACACAGAACACACACACACAGAACAAACACACACATGCAGAGACTACACAGAGAGACCCTCAGCACACAGCACAGATGTGAGGCTACACACACACAGAACACACACACACACACACAGAACACACATACACAGAGACCCTCAGCACACAGCACAGATGTGAGACTACACACACAGAACACACACACACAGACCATATAACCATACCACACACACACAGAACACACACACAGACCACATACCCACACCATACACACACACAGACTGAGACCTCGTACTCTACAGAGACACCTGCCTTTTGCTAGGTTTGTTGCCAGCAAGCGGGCTTCTGCTTGTAGAAAGCACAGGGGGCAGAGCCCTCCTGGGGAGGTGCCCGCCTGCGGTCAGACCAGGCCAGTCCCTGAGGGGCGGGCTCTGCTGCCTCCGGTCACAGGCACCTCCCCGGACGGGGTGTGCCAGCCGCCATTGTGGGGAGTAGAGCAAGAGAGTGGGTCCAGACCTCTAGAACTGCGGATCTTCCTCTGGCTGAAGCCCCGGCCCCCCACTGTGCTCCCCAGGTACCCCAGCCCCTCCTCCAATCCATGTGGCCCCCTCCCACCCCAGGGCCTTGCCCCTCGTCCCGCCCCACCTCCACCACTCCTGAGGCTGAGTCCAAGAAGCTCCACATTTCCCAGGTGCACCGTCTTCCGTCTCCACGGCCCCTACCGGGTGTGACGGGAGGCCTGCTGCAAGGCGCCGTCCCTGGGTGCCAGGCCGGCATGCCAGGCGCTCCTATCCGCTCCGCCAGTCTCCAGCCTCAGGCTCCGGCTAACCTGGGGTCCCCTCCCCTCAGCCCCAGGCTCTGGGATAGCACAGGTCCCCAGCCCCAGGGCTTCTGTGACACACCCAAATGTGCCTGACCCATCAGCTGTGAACTCCTCCCGGGCACCAAGGACAGTGTCTGGTCAGTCACATCTGCAGTCCCTGTGGCTGAGTCTCGCTCCTTGAGAGGCCCAGCCGAGCCGGTGCTTATGGCCCCTCTGGGAGAGGCTGGAGAGCACAGCCAGCTGCCTTCCTTCCCTGTCCCCTGTGAGACACAGACTCAGGACAGCACTGCCAGACGGGGGACAGCAGCTGCTCATGACCCTTCACAGAGGTCCCGGGCACACTGCACACGGTGCTGCTGGAGAACACAGAACAAGAGCACATGGCACACGGGGCTGCTGGAGAACACAGAACAAGAGCAAACTGCACACGGGGCTGCTGGATATCACAGAACAAGAGCACAATGCACACAGGGCTGCTGGAGAACACGGAACAAGAGCACACTGCACACGGGGCTGCTGGAGAACACAGAACAAGAGCACACTGCACACGGGCCTGCAGGAGAGCACAAGTCACGGGCACACTGCACACAGGGCTGCTGGAGAACATAGAACAAGAGCACACTGCACACGGGGCTTTCGGAGAACACTGGTCATGGAACACTGCACACGGGGCTGCTGGAGAGCACAGAACAAGAGCACACTGCACAAGGGGCTGCTGGAGAGCACAGGTCACGGGCACACTGCACACGGGGCTGCTGGAGAACACAGAACAACAGCACACTGCACATGGGGCTGCTGGAGAACACAGAACCAGAGCACACTGCACAAGGGGCTGCTGGAGAGCACAGGTCACGGGCACACTGCACACGGGTATGCTGGAGAGCACAGGTCACGGGCACACTGCACAGCTGGAGAACACAGAACAAGAGCTCACTGCACACGGGGCTGCTGGAGAACACAGAACCAGAGCACACTGCACAAGGGGCTGCTGGAGAACACAGAACCAGAGCACACTGCACACGGGGCTGCTGGAGAACACAGAACTAGAGCCCACTGCACACGGGGCTGCTGGAGAACACAGAACCAGGCACACTGCACACGGGGCTGCTGGAGAACACAGAACAAGAGCACACTGCACAAGGGGCTGCTGGAGAGCACAGGTCACGGGCACACTGCACACGGGTATGCTGGAGAGCACAGGTCACGGGCACACTGCACACGGGTATGCTGGAGAGCACAGGTCACGGGCACACTGCACACAGGGCTGCTGGAGAACACAGAACAAGAGCTCACTGCACACGGGGCTGCTGGAGAACACAGAACAGAGCACACTGCACACGGGGCTGCTGGAGAACACAGAACAAGAGCTCACTGCACACGGGGCTGCTGGAGAACACAGAACCAGAGCACACTGCACAAGGGGCTGCTGGAGAACACAGAACCAGAGCACACTGCACACGGGGCTGCTGGAGAACACAGAACTAGAGCCCACTGCACACGGGGCTGCTGGAGAACACAGAACCAGAGCACACTGCACACGGGGCTGCTGGAGAACACAGGTCCCGGGCACACTGCACACGGCGCTGCTGGAGAACACAGAACAAGAGCACACTGCACACGGGGCTGCTGGAGAACACACAACAAGGGAACACGGCACACGGGGCTGATGGAGAACACAGAACAAGAGCTCACTGCACACGGGGTTCCAAGAGAACACAGAACAAGAGCACAAAGCACACGGGGCTGCTGGAGACCACAGGTCGCAGGCACACTGCACACGGGCTGCTGGACAACACAGAACAAGAGCACACCGCACACGGGGCTGCTGGAGAAAAGAGAACAACAGCACACTGCACACGGAGCTGCCGGAGAACACAGAACAACAGCACACGGCACACAGGGCTGCCGGAGAACACAGAACCAGAGCACACTGCACACGGGGCAGCTGGAGAACACAGAACAAGAGCCCACTGCACACGGCGCTGCTGGAGAACACAGAACAAGAGCACACTGCACACGGGGCTGCTGGAGAACACAGAACAAGAGCACATAGCGCATGGGCCTGCTGGCGAGCACAGAACAAGAGCACACGGCACACAGGGCTGCGGGAAAACACAGAACAAGAGCACATGGCACACGGGGCTGCTGGAGAACACAGAACAAGAGCACACTGCACACGGGGCTGCTGGAGAACACAGAACAAGAGCATGCTGGCGAGCACAGAACAAGAGCACACGGCACACAGGGCTGCGGGAAAACACAGAACAAGAGCACATGGCACACGGGGCTGCTGGAGAACACAGGTCAAGAGTAAAGTGCACACGGGGCTGCCGGAGAACACAGAACAAGAGCCCACTGCACACGGGGCTGCTGGAGAACACAGAACAAGAGCCCACTGCACACAGGGCTGCTGAAGAACACAGAACAAGAGCACACTGCACACAGGGCTGCCGGAGAACACAGAACAAGAGCACACTGAACACAGGCCTGCTGGAGAGCACGGGTCACGGGCACACTGCACACGGGGCTGCGGGAGAACACAGAACAAGAGCACACTGCACACGGGGCTGCTGGAGAACACAGAACAAGAGGACATGGCACACGAGGTTGCTAGAGAACACAGAACAAGAGCCCACTGCACACGGGGCTGCTGGAGAACACAGAAAAAGAGCACATGGCACACGAGGTTGCTAGAGAACACAGAACAAGAGCCCACTGCACACGGGGCTGCTGGAGAACACAGAACAAGAGCAAACTGCACACGGGGCTGCTGGATATCACAGAACAAGAGCTCACTGCACACGGGGCTGCTGGAGAACACAGAACCAGAGCACACTGCACACGGGGCTGCTGGAGAACACACAACGAGGACACACTGCACACGGGGCTGCTGGAGAACACAGAACAAGAGCACACTGCACATGGGGCTGCTGGAGAACACAGAACAAGATCACACTGCACACAGGGCTTCTGGAGAACACAGAACAAGTGCACACTTCACACTGGGCTGCCGGAGAACACAGAACAAGTGCACATGGCACACGGGGCTGCTGGAGAACACAGGCCCCGGGCACAATGCACACGGGGCTGCCAGTGAACACAGGTCCTGGGCACTCGGTACACAGGGCTGCCCATCTGAGGGACACTGGCTGTGGGCCGACCCCTCGGTCTCTGTGGCCAGCGTGATTTGTCACGAACCTGCCACTGACCAGCTGTGTGTCGGAGGCTGTATCCAGGAAGACCAACTGTGTCCTGCAGAGGAGCCAGGGCCCAGAGCCCGGGGCTGTGCAGCACCCGTCCAGCCACGCCACACCCTGGGGTGGCCAGCATTGCCAGTAAACAGGAAGCCAGAGTGGCGCTGTGACTCAGTGGTGGAGCGCCCGCCTAGAGCTGATGAGCGAGGGACAGCGCCCAGGCCAGAGTGCAGGCCCCACAATGGACAAAAGCAAACCAAGAAACAAAGACCTTCCGCCAGGCGTCGTGGTGCAGGCCTGTAGTCCCAGCATGGGGGCGGCTGTGGCAGGGGTCACAAGTTCAGCGTGCAGCCTGGGAGACGGATGAGAAAAACTGAACAAACACCACCACAGCGGGCCCGAGGCCCAGGCTGGGGGCTGGGGGTCCCGGGCTGGGGGCTGGGGGCCCAGGCTGGGGGCTGTGGGTCCCGGGCTGGGGGCTGGGGGTCCGGGCTGGAGGCTGGGGGCCCAGGCTGGGGGCTGTGGGTCCTGGGCTGGGGGCTGGGGGTCCCGGGCTGGGGTCCGTGGGTCCCGGGCTGGAGGCTGTGGGTCCCAGGCTGGGGGCTGGGGGCCCAGGCTGGGGGTTGGGGGTCCCAGGCTGGGGGCTGTGGGTCCGGGCTAGGGGCTGGGGGTCCCGGGCTGGGGTCCGTGGGTCCCGGGCTGGGGGCTGGGGGTCCTGGGCTGGGGGCTGTGGGTCCCGAGCTGGGGGCTGGGGGTCCTGGGCTGGGGGCTGGGGTCCGTGGGTCCCCGGCTGGAGGCTGTGGGTCCTGAGCTGGGGGCTGTGGGTCCTGGGCTGTGGGCTGGGGTCCGTGGGTCCCAGGCTGGGGGCCTCAGGTCCTGAGTCCCGGGCTCGGGGCTCTTTATGACCCACTGTGGCCAGACAGGCTAAGGAGGCCGCAAAGATGGTGGGTGACGGTGCATGACTCCACGGGGAAGGGCGGGCTTTGTGGGCCGCGGGGCCCAGCCTCCCACCCCCACGCCTGGCCCTGCCACCCGCTCTGGGAGGCAGAGGGCACCGAGGGGGCTTTGTGGCCCAGAAGCAGCCAGCAGAGGGGAGAGGGAAGGACAGCGGCTCCGGACAGCCTCCGGGTTCAGCAATGACCCGCTGGAGACTTCCAGACGCCCAGTGACTGTGCCAGAGCCTGGCTCAGCCCTGGAGAGGCTGATGGGAGGTTGAAGGCCAGCCTGGGCTCCGTGGCTGGACGCGTGCTTGCACGGACAGGGCCGGGCCGCTCTCGCACAGCGGAGGGGAGGACGTGCGTGTCCTCTGGGCAGCCCAGCGGCTCCCTCGCCGGGCGCGCGGGCCTTGCCACCCTCATCCGGCAGGGCAGCGCGGGCCTGCCGCTGGCCGGGTGGACGCAGCCGCTGGCCGGGTGGACGCAGCCGCTCTCCTGCCCCCTCACTCCCGCCCTCCATGCAAAGAAGCAGCCCCACGCCGCTGGGCACCGGCTTGCCTTCTTCCCAAAGGAGTTCAAAAGTGGAGAGCTGATTTGTATTCAGACACCAGACGGACTGCGGCAAGCCCAGCTGGGCGGGCCGGGCGGACCCTCCTCTGGGGGAGGGGGAGGGAGGGCTTCCCGGGGTCGGCTGCTCCCCTCCCCTCCTCCCCCAGCTTCCATAACCCTCCGCCCCTGCTGGGAACCGCTGCTCTTTGTGATGAGCACAGCTGATCCGCCCTCAGCATTGGAATTTTGGAGGCTCTCCAAGGATCCCCGCTCCGGGCTCTCTCGCGCATCATCTGCATACATTTGTATAAGTTATGCGTGGCTGTGCACTTCTCTTTAACGTTGCCGCCTAATGAGATCACTCAGACAGGCACGTTAGAAACAGGCTGGACTGCGGGGCTGACCCTCACGGTGGGTCACTGGCGTGATCGCTGGAGTGCATTTGCCCTGCTTGTGGTGGTAATAAAGCCTCCTGCGGCCACGAGGAGGGCCGGAGGGCACGGCGCACTCGCCCACGGCCCTGTGCGGTGTCGGGACAGAGCGGCCACTCCCACACCAGAAACCAGCCAGAAGTCCTGGCATGCGTAAGCATTTCGCCAGCTGGGTGGAGAAGAGCGGCGCGGGGGTGGGGGCACATAGTAAAATACACCGGACAAGATGGTAACAGCCCCACAGTGTTGCGGCCTCAGTGGGGGGATCATGGGGGCCGTGGCCTCTGCGTGGCGATCGTGGGGGCTGGCTGGAGACAGGACCCCTCGTGTACCCACGGGAGACCCAGCGGTGTCACAGGTGAGAGTTAACGGCCTGGCAGGATGCCAGCCTGATCGCGCAGGACTGGAAGCCAGCCCAGCTCTCCCGCGATTTACGTGCAGCCGCGGGAGGCCGAGGGCATCTGAAGGTCAGGCCGCTCAGGCTCCTCCCAGGCTCCTGAGACAGTGCTCGGCCGGGGCAGCCACAGCAAAAGGGTGCGGGGCGGCGGCAGCCGTAAATCCCACCCGAGGCCTCCCTGCTCCCCCCACGCCTCCCCCGTTTGTTCTTGGTGAAAACTCTCCAGGAACAGACCACCACGTCGCCCTGCTTCAGGTGCCCAGCTAATGGGGCGGCAAAAATGTCAGCCATCCCTCCCCTCCCCCCACCCCCCCCCCGCTTCACTCCCCCACCCCCCATGCCCGAGGCCACCCCTCATTGCTCTGGTCCAGAGCCGGGACTGCTGGCAGGGGGGAGGGGGACACCGGGAGCTCCGCTGAGCTCAGCTGGGCCAGGGGCCAGCGCCCACCGGGATGGCGGCCTCCGCTGTCCCAGCCAGAGCAGACACGGGAGCAGTGTACCAGCCCAGGGTCTGCCCCACCCGCCACCCTTCACCCGCTGATGGCCCCAAGACACTGCGCCTCTTCAGAGCTGTCTGCCGAGCTGGCGCTGCACCCCATCAGGCTGCTCAGGGGACCGCACCTTCATCCCAGGGCCATCAGAGCCAGGAGCATGTGACCCCGGAGCCACCGGCAGGTCAGCCTCTGCCGAGCCGGCCGCCGGGCTTCCTGGCAGCTTCCGCCCCGGGGGACACGTCCCCCGATGAACCGCCCCGCAGCCCCACCGCCCCACAAGGCTGGTCTCAAGGAAGAAAGCCACGCGGCCCCTTTCATCTCAGAGACCTGCCAGTCCCGATTGAATTCCACCTGTCCCTAACACCTAGCGATGCGTGTGTGCGCTTAAACTACATGTTCTGCTTTTCAAGCAGAAGATGGGCGTGCGGGATGACAAGGTGGGAGGCCACGGGGTCACCCAGCAGCCTGTCCCACGGTGCCTAAATATCCACTGCTGGTGCTTGGTCGCTGGCCTCCGTGTCCCCCGCTGCCGGCTGCCGACTGCCGGAGGGAGCTTGGGTCGGAAGCAGAGGACTTTGTTCTTCCCCCCCACAAGGACGGAGGCTCTGTGACTCCCTCATACCTTGTGCACATACCTGGTGAGCAACTTGATGACGTCATGCGGACGTGGTGCCGTGTGTCACAGTGCCTTGGCACGGACAGGCAGCCCTCCCCGTGGGAACTGCTCCCGAGCTGTGGGGGATCGTGGAGGGACCTGTGCCGCGCTGTGCACCAGAATACCCTACACCAGCGTCACAGGAACGCAACTGGCTATACACGAAGGGACCACAGTAGCTTTCACTGGTGGGAAGGACGCTTACTCCTGTGTGTGTGCTGAGTGTGCAATAGTCACCCCCACACAGTGCCCTGCCCAGCTGCACGAGACCCAGCACAAGGCTTTGTGCAGAGGAACCGGCTCCGACCCCCCCATCCTCCCGCAGGGCCAGCTGATGTCCTGTGAAATCACCAGCCCTAACTTGCTTCCAGCAGGTGCCCCATTCCTAGATTTCTGGGTCCCTCGGCTCTGACAAGGGGACATCTGTACCCTGATGCTCCCTGGAGAGAGCCTTGGACTAGGACAATCCAAGCCGGACAAGCCAGCGCCCCCTCCTCAGACCCACAGCACCCTGAGCCCACGGGCTGCCCACAGGGGCTCCACTGCAGCCAGTGCCCCACCCTGCGCTCTGCCCTGTGCGGCCTCTGCACCCTCCCTCCCTCCCTCCCTCCCTCCCTCCCTCTCCCTCCCTCCCTCCTTCCCTCCCTCCTTCCCACCCTTCCTTCCTTAATTCTTTTGTCTCTGTCTCTCTCTATCACTGTGTCTGTGTCTGTGTCTGTCTCTCTGTCTCTGTCTCTGCCTCCCTCCCTCACCCCCCATTATAGCATGTTGTTCAGTTTGGGGGTCCATCCAAGCTGGGTTCAAAGCGCAGCCCCGACTGTATGACTGTATGATCTCAGATCCGCACCCCGCCTCCAGCAATGTACTGGGGCCTCTGCAAACGCCGTGCGCCCAGGGCTGCACATGCGCAGACGCTGAGCCCAGCACAGCGGCTGCCGCCGTGCCCCGCACAAATGCCCTGAGCTCTGTGCTTGGATTTACTTCCCTATGCTTCACTTCATTCTCTATCTCCACACAAGCCCTTCCCCACCTCCCGTGGCTTCAGATACACGGTGTGTAAAGAATGCGCGTGCCAAGCTGGCCTGCAAGGGGCGTGGGGTTCCCTCGAGTGTCCGTGCTGGCTCACGGCTGCGGGGTGGCACGGAGCCTGCCCCGCACACCAACCCTGCGGCCACGCCTGGGGCCCTGCCTCGGGGTCCTCGGCAATCCACGCCTCGTCCGGCAGCCACATCCGCCCATGTGTGCGGGATTCCTAAGCCACAGTGAGTGTCCACACCAATGTCCATCCCAGTGGACGACGGTCAGCGCAGATGACCACGCCCCACCCCCGCCACCCACGGGACGCTGCTTCAGCGGGCTTCGGGAGCTGAGAGACCCCACGGGTGTGAAAGGGGAGGAAAGCGGGCATGAGTTCAGGTTGTCCTGATTACAGACGGCATTACTGTCAGCACAGGTTTCTCTTCTAAATTGCCTGTTCTCTCTCTCTCTCTCTTACTTCAAAAATGTCCTTCCCAACATTTAACAGGTAAAGAAAATAGCATATTGGTTTGTTTTTGTTTGTTATTTTCTGTCCAAGTAATACTGATTAAAAATATTTACATACCTACTTTTAAGTCCACAGTGTAGCACTCTTATTTGTATGGCTTTCAAAGAATCTTTACATTAAGGATTGGGGAAAAATTACATTCAAAACAAAGCCTGATCTATACGTGTTTTCCTCTGTATTTTATTTTAAATGCATTAATTTTTAAATGATGCTCATTTTTTTTCAATCTGGTGGAAAAATGCTAGTGCAATTTTTTCATCAAAATAAAGCTTACCACAGATGTAAATGAATTTTCCTGATTGAAAACAGCCCTTCCACTGCTGCTCAATGAAATTCCTCAACCTATCTTAAAATGAAAACGAATTGGCAATTGTCATTATAAGCAAAAATATGAAGTACTGATTGCAACAATGCTCCTACAGCCCAAACTTTGAAGAAATGCACGCTTTGTAGAGGTTTAGCTGGTTTCAGAAGGCACATGGGTGTCTTGTGTTTTTTCCTCCTATAACTTTTGCCATGACCATTTCTGTCCCAGAGTTGGCATCTGTGACTCGCGGGATAACGATCATAATGCTATTCAGAAGAAGGCAAGCCAGACCCAAACGTAACTGCACAACAACCATGCTCCGTTCCTCACGCCGCCGTGCTTCCTGTCCATGCCTTAGAATACATCAGCTCATGTTCTAATGGTTTTCCATTTAATTTCTCATGATGGAAAGAATTTGGGGAAGGACATGACCTGGGAAAAGGGACGCTTTCCACAATGAAAATAGATGCATTTGTACCCAACTATATAGCAAAATAGAATCTATTCCTTCTCTCTGCCCATGTTTTCCTCACGTTTCTCCTTTCCCTTCTTGTTGTACTATCTTGTATACTCCCCCAGGCTCGCTCTGGCCACTCCTAGCTGTGGGAGGACCCTGGTAAAGGACAGGCAGTCTGTGGAGCGGTGTTCTCTGATCAGCGGAAATACCGCAGCCAGTCTTGCTCTCCTAGTTTGGAGGGAGAGTTCCTTCCCTGTCCAGAAGGACAGCTTTCCTCCAGGTCAGCTCTCCCACCCAGAATTACCTTCCTCACAGCTGCACTGCTCTCCAGGGGCTAAGTTTGCTGCCCAGCAGCTACAAAAATGATCCATTCTCCTCACTGGTGGATGCTCCCTCATCCCCACTGGTGGGTGCTCCCTCCTCTCACCAATGGGTGGTGTCCCGCTGTCATCGACAGGCATTCCAAAGACATAGCATGTGTTCCCCGTTTCCTGACCCCGGCCCGTCTATGTAGAGATGGGTTATGCACTTTCCTATCTCTTTCTAGCTTGTCTTTGTGTCTGGCAGACTAATGCTTCCTCTTTTTATGTCTCTAATATTGTCTTGCACACAGATATTTCTATACTTATAGAAATAAACTTACCCAATATTGAGATTGTTGGATCTTAAGGTAGGTCTACTTTTTTTCTATTTTTGAGGAACCTCTACACCATTTGTCATTATGGCTGTTAGTTCACACGACCATCAACAAGTGTTTTCTGTGTCTTCTTTTTTTATTTTGGCCTGTCATGGGGCCTGGGTGCTGTCCCTCAGCTCTTCAGCTCAAGGTTAGCGCTCTACCACTTGAGCCATAGCACCATGTCCAGCTTTTTCTGCTTATGTGGTGCTGAGGAATCGAACCCAGGGCCTTATGCATGCAAGGCAAGCGCTCTACCACGGAGCCACCTTCCCAGCCCCTTCTCTGTGTCTTCTAAAGCTTCCTTCCATCTCTTTGGTAACAGTCACTCTAGCAGGTGTGGTGTGACACCTTATTGTGTTTTGAAGTCCACTGTCAAAAATACTTCCAAAGGAGAGGACATCAGTACATTGAGGAGGTGTTCACACACCATGTCCAATGTAGCATGATTCATAACAGCCAAAATATGGGAGCACTCGGCATGTCCATCCATGGGTGATCGAAGACGGTATGATGTGCAGACACAGGAAGCACTATCTGTTTTAAGGAAGAAAATCCTGTCATACAAGCCAACACAGATGCACCTGGAGACATTATGTTAAATGAAAGATATGGAAAG